CACTGATAAATAAATTCATTCAATACACTTATATTATCCAATTTATACTGTACATGTAGATCATTCACCAACAGATTTAACAACAATTACAAATACTATAGATACAAATACTACTACTAAAACTAACAAAGTAAAAGATAATAATAACTAAATCAAAAATAAAATATGGATATCATAAAGAGTTGTGTAGTATAAATAGAATAAGAAATTTAAAATACAGGATGTGTCAAAAGTAGTGCCCAGATTCTGTTATCTTGCAGATTATTAATTTTCTTAATCAATTAACAGTCATAAAGACAGAAATTGGGTGCTAGTTTTGATTCATCCTGTACTAAAGTAAAATGATCTAGTGAATTTGTAGGTTGCTTAAATTAGTAAATATTCAAAAGGGTCAGTTAAAACATTGACATTCACCATGCTAAATAATAAATCTGGCAAAGTATTCAAGCTACAAAGTAATGTGGATTTAAAAAAAAAGTGCAATCTAAGTTACAAACAAGCACTGACATCAAAACATTTCTATAAACATGTACAAATGTAAACACAATGCATTAAAAAGAAAATTCTAGTAAATCCATTATATTAAAAATGATCCTTTATAATTATCTTCTATTATATTAAAAAAAAATAAAGAATTTTGAAACTTTAGAAGTTTTGATTATTTGTTGGTTAATTGGAAATAGGCAGGCATCTAATTATCTCAGGAGATAAAAGGTAATGCCTTGTTTGGTTAAAATTAAGTCCTTTGATAGTGAGATAGGGTGACCTCTTCAGGGCACAGGTACAGGCGATGGCATATGGAGGGTACGCACTTCCCAGACTACATGTACACTCACTCTTGGCTGTACCAATAAGATCCAAAGGAATACAGGGCACTTGCACCAATGAAAAGTGCAGATATAAAAGAAAAATTGAGAAGTATAATTTAATTACTGATATTCCCTGAGGAGTGGACAGAGTGATTCCTGGAGGGTCAATCTCCAAAACCCTGAATTTGGGATGCTGAAGCTAATATCAATCAGCTAAATGAGATATATATAAAAATAAAATGAAATGAGGGCCAGTAAATATAATATTGTATCGATAAAAATAACATATATTTATTATGTTTATACATCATTTTATAGATAAATAAATTGTATCTATAAAAATAATGTATAAACAGAATAAATATATACGTTATTTTATAGATACAATTTATTTAACTAATTGCTGTTTTTAATTAAAGAATGTTAATTACATTTACTTAAAATAAGTAGAAAATATATTAAATAATTGTCGGACTTAATCTCTTTCATTTTATATATATATATATATATAATTATTTTTATAAAAATTATAACATAAGTATGTTATAAGATCACTACAAAATAGCCATTTTGTTTCAACACATTCTGTGTCTTCTCAAGTGATGATGTTGAAAATAAAATAAATGGTTTAAAAGTTTCAGATTAATTAACGATCCTACACTATTCCATTGTTAAAAAAGCTAGAATAACCAATCAAAAATTTGAAATATAGAAAAGATTTAAAAAGCTTGACAACGAAATCCTGAACTAGCTATTCAAATCTTTAAATACGTGTAAAATTAAAATAATTTATACTAACTAATAATTTAAAATCATAATGATAAATTTTAATATTAGTGTTTTTAAAAATGATAATTTTAAAATCCAAATTTAATAACTATTAATTGTAAAACTACAAAATTATTAGAAAAGAAAAATATATATATTTATTTAATTGGTTAGAGTATTCATTGAGGAATTATGTTTGTATGTTTATTGTTATTTTTTTTTTTTTTTAATACATGTATATATATATATTTTTCCCTTTCCCTTTCATTTCCGTTTTTTATTTTATATATGTTTATATTGGATGGGAAGGTATGGTAGATGCGTAAGAGAAGAGGTTAAAAACTACAATCAGATTATAATACATATATGTACTGTATATGTGTAATGTATATAGATATGTATATATGTAACACATATATATATGTATGTTATATATATATATATAATAAGTGTGTGTGTGTGTGTGGTTGTAAAAAAAAAAAAAAAAATGTGTGTATATATATGTATGTGTGTGTGTGTGTATATATATAAAAATATATATGAAAAATCAGTATAATTTTAAAAAATGGTTCAATGTGAAATTAATACTAATACACACACAAATGAATTAGTTATATCATAGACAAATGTACTTTTTATATACATATATATTTGTATATATAATTGTGACAATGAGATTTAATATATATATATATCATGTATATTATAATATATATCTAATGTCTTATTTTATTATATATGTATAACATATATATAAATATAAAATGGTTAAAAATAATATTTATTTAATATATTAAAATAAAATTGTAAAACCATAAATATCAATAAAAATATATTAATCATATATTATTATATATTGGGCAGTAAACAGTATACATGTAAACATACAACCATATATATATATATATATATATATACATGTGTTGTTGTAAACAAATTACACACATAAATTGTTGTTATTATACATATATATTTACATATATATGCATGTTTATTTAAATATATAAATGTAAACATATGTATATATATACATATCTATATATGTTTACATATGTATATATATATATATAAACCTAAATGTGTACCTATTATATATGAGTTTTTTGTGTGTATATACATATATAAAAAACTGTTTTTATATATGTATGTAAAAGTTTTTATATGTGGGTGTACAAACTATATGTATAATAGTGCATGCAAAACTTGTTACATAGATATGTATATGTACGTATAATTTATGTTTATATATTTAATATATATATTTCTGTATGTAAATATAATATATGTATAAACAGTGTATATAATTTGTTTTTACAATAATATATATATATATATATGCATATATGGTTGTGTGTGTTTGCATACTGTTTTCTTGATTAATATATACATTTTATACTAACATATACTTAATATATAATTTTTATTGATAAATGGTTTTAGAATTAACATTTTAATATATAGTCTAATATTATTTACAAATTTTATCTTTGTATATTTGTTTTGGTTATAATTCAATAAGTGGTTAGCATTTATTTAAGTCTGACAAAGATTTATATATATATATTTTCATTGTCTGTCATTGTATGTGGATATATGTATGTATCTACACGGTGTCTATGTGACATATAGAGTGTATTCACTGTGTGTGTGTATTAGTGTTAGTTTAAAGCCTCCTTTTTTTTCATAAAAGGAACTAAGAGATGTTCATGTTTTTCCCCCCACCTCCTTTTTTTTTTTTTTTTTTTTTTTTTTTAATATACATATGTATGTTTGTGTGTGTGTGTGTACACAATTAAATATATGTATTATAATCTGATTGTATTTTAAACATATGACGCATGAGTTTAAGACCACATCCACAAACTTTAAAATAAAATATAAATGAAAGGGAAAAGGGAAAATATATATATACATGTATTATCAAATGACCGGATATATTGTAGCGTCCTTGTCGAACATAATTTCAATGAAGAAATGAATTGAATAAACATATATTTTTTACCTTTTAATTTGTAGTTTTAAACTTTAGTGATTAAATTTTGATTTTAAATTATAATTTTAATTTTAAAATTAAATTTTAAAAAATGATTTTATAATTATTAGTTAGTATAAATTATTTTAATAATACAATATTTAAAGATTTGAATAGCTATTATTATTTCGTTGTCAATTTTGAATCTTTCTATTTCGTTTTTGATTGGTTATTCTAGCTTTTGTAACAATGTCATTTAAGTGTAGGATCGTTTTAAAACCATTTATTTTATTTTCAACATCATCTTTGAGAAGACACAGAATGTGTTGAAAACAAAAATTTTTTATTTTACTTATGTTATAATTTTTTATAAAAATACTTATATATATTATTTGCTAATTACTTTGTATTGAGCACTCTTTTAAGAATAGTAATTGTTGGTTATTGGAATTCATTCCGTATATATACCAATTATATACTTTGATATATATATATATATATATATATAAAAATGGGTTTTTTAACTCAAGAGAGATGATATGCGTTTTCAAAGCTCCAATAAATAAACAGAATTTAAGTTTAACTGAAAAAAAAAAAAAAAAAAAAAAAAAATGTAAATATTACTTAAAAGTAATATAATAATTCACAATTATTATTTCTTTTATTACATTTATTATATATGTCATGATCATTATATTTATTTGAAGTTATATATGTATTATTATTATTATTTCTTTTAACCTTTCCACAGTTACTGTGTTTTTCTCTATTAGTATTTATTATTTGCACAACTAATCCGAAGATTGTCTTATTTTTACTTTCTGTTTAACTAAAGTTATATTTATCAAGTTTTCATTTTCTATTCTTGTTCATTTTTTATCAATTGATAGTTTAGGTGTTAGTACTGTGAAAAAGTTTAAGTGTTAGTACTTTACTCGTAGTATAAATTATTTTATTGTTTAAGAACTTCATAATTGGAAGACTATAAACAGTAAAATATACAAAGGGATGCTGAAAAGTTCTCATCCCTACCAAGAAGGGATTCCAAAATAAATTCTGATACTTGGTCAGTCGGTCAGATTTTGGGCTAAAAAGTCAGACCATGAACTTTTCAGCACCCTCCTTTAAAAGAAAAAGGCCTGGAGCCAAGGTTTAGATAGAAAGTAAGTTTAGCAGTTAGGTTTTAGTATAACTAAATGTATTGCTTACTTTTACAAAAAATAGATAAATAAAAATGATGATTAATATAAATTTTTAAGATGATAGTTTAATGTTAGCACTTTTTATGCTATTTTGCAGTGATTAGGGCTGAAGAGATTTCCATATTATTAGTATTAGGATTTGAATAAATTTCAGGCTGTATAACTTAATTCCTAAATTCACAATAATGTGTTTCCTGGTGTTAGTTTCATGTCAAGAGGCAGAAGCAGCGATGTGCATGAAATTATTACCTTGACATTGGCAGGTTTACCCTGGAAAGGAAGCAGGAAAACATGGGTTATTTTACATCAACATGCCATGAGGGGCAATCAGATTACAAAACCAAAAGCAATGTGGTTAGCAAGGCAGTCAACATGAAAATTATATTTGACATGCTGTCAACCTTTCTTATTTACAAACAGAACAAAAATAATTAAAGCATCAATTCAAACAATGTTATACAAAAACAATTCATGCTAAATTGAAAAGGCAAGTAAAAAAAAAAATCAACTGGTTAGAAATAACAATTGATGGTTGAAAAAAATCTGAAAGAGATTATATTGATGGACAAATGGCTTAGCAAAAATTCAGTGCTCTGGTAAGGTAATTAATGTTAGTGTTCTTATGCTATTCAGGCAGTCCAAATGATGTTAATCATTATGATGCAAAATTAATTACTAAAGATTTCATGTTACAAAGTTGCAAAAAAAACAAACAAACTTGACCCCATGTTATATAATAATTTGTAATGTATTCAAAAAAATTCTTTTATAGAAAAAAATTATATCATTTTAAAAAGCAGAGATAAGGGAAATGCTTGCTGGATGATGTGAGGTTGATGTTATGAAGAAGGAAAAAAAAATTTTTTCAGTGGAAAATGTGTTTTAGAGATATGACCACTGTCACCTTTTAAGCTTTTGCCTCCCCACCCACATACATACATACATACATACAAAAAAATATTTAAAATCAATTGTTAGAAATATAACCATAAAAATTTTGCAATTGTATTTACTATATTTCCTGCAGAAGTAATTTCATATTTTATCGACACAGTTCTATTGTCAGGTATAAGAATGAATTCAACTTTTCAAATCAAGAAAAGTAAAACATCCAAAAACATAACATGAAATCTAAAATAAATAAAATAAAATAAAATAGAAAAAAAAATTACAAAATGGCATTTCCTGCAATAAATAATCTAGGATAAACTAATCTCTCGAGATTTAGCCAGAATTAACTTAAAAGCAATACTGACTATAGTTAAGTAAGGATCAATCTATATAATAAACCATTTGACTTTATCTATGTATAGGTTGTTTTTATATATATATATATATATATATATATATATATATGACAACTTGCTAAAGTTCTTGGCCTGATCAAGAAAGAATTTGCTACAAGAAAGAAAAAAAAAAATGATTTTTAGGTTATTTGTTTAGATTTTGGGAATAGTGTCAAAAATTTCTCAGTACCCCCTTGCATATCAGTGAATTTCTTCGTGTAATAAACTAGCACTTATTTGATAAACAAATTATGAAAACTTATTCCAAGATAGATGGAAACTATAATGCTTTAATTATAGACATTGTTATCAATTTCAAAACAATACCAGTTGCTTAATTTATAAAATAAATAAAGTCAATATAATGTTAATTTAGAAATTTACATTCAATACATTAAAATTACTGAAATAATTTAAAAACTGATTGAATTTACAAATATAAGAACAAACACATAACTAAATTCACAAAAATGACAATAGTATTTAATATTAATTTTGGAATTCATTTTTTTTTTTTTAAATATACATTTGAAAATTTATTTCTTTGGAAGTCATTCATCTTTGGCATTTTAATTCATAGCAGAATTATTTTAAGTTTTCACTTGATGTTAGTATAGTCACAAAACAATCTAAAGAAAATGTGTTACGACAGACACACCCATTACGTAATTCTCATGCGAACCATAACAGCCGTAAAGCTCTATAATCCATTGAAAGATTTTTAGTCATTTCACTTAATTTTATTTGTGATAGAATTTGATAAGAGATTAATTACCAACAGTAATTGCTTGTTCTGCATAATTAAGAAATAAAATCCACTTACTTGAAAAAAATGAAAAGGTCTACATGTCTTAAGTTATGATAAAAAAAATTGGAAAAAGAAAAAAAAGAATTTTTAAAATTTAACCAATTTTTGAATAATTTTCCACTAATTGAATACTATTCTATAAATTATTTTGACTAGTATTTTCATCGTTTTTTTTTCTCACAACATAAGTTTTTTCTGCTTTTCTCTGGTGTAGGCTGAATCTGGTAATATTTAAGTAGATTTTTTTCTTTTAAATACCCCATTATCTTCTCATGAGAAATAATTCACAACCTCATGCTGACACAAAAAAGAAAAAAAAACAAAGCATTGGATAATACGGGACACAGCATACACCTTAGGAAAGCTAAAGAACATTAGATGATACAGTGTGATGAAAATAACAAAGATGGAGATACTAGTACAAATAATTTATGAAGTGGTGATAATAAATCATCTCAGAATTTCAAACATCAGCTGAATACAACTTAAAATTCTAATCTCAGCTGTTCTATTTAAAGAAGTCCAAATAATTATTTGTTTGATTCTTTAGCTAAATATTATTACAAGCTGATTAGATAACATCTTGTTTGAAAAGTACATGAATTTGAAACAGACAAATGAACAGTCCAAAGAAATAAACTTAAAAAGAAAAAAAAAAAGAGTTTAAGGTCTTTTTGTTTTGATGATACAAAGTGATTTTGCAAGACATTGCAAGAAGCAAATAAACACTGGAGATGGTAGCACTAAGCATAGCAATAAGAGCAGAAATCATTAACTGAACTGCTATCAAACAAGAAATAAATTTCGTTAAGGTACTTAAAAAATGTTATTATACATTTATAAAAGCAACTCTAAAATAAACAAAGGATTTGGTATCTCAACATATATGAACATGCTCTGAAGCAGCTAAGCAATTAAGCACAAGGATTTCTTTTGCTGAAAAAGTTCCAAAGTAATTGTGTTTTTACAAGTATAAAATAACTTAAGATTAACCAATTTATACAACTGTGTTTCAGTGTAATGTTTTATTTTAGTAAACAATAGAAGCAAAAAAATATTAACACTAAATAATCAGTGAGTCAACCCCAAAATATTTTTTCTAAAATTCAATATTATATATATATATATATATATATATATATATATAAAATCAACAGTCAATTATAATTGAATTTCTGCAAAGTAACTTTTGGAATAAGTTTTATTCATTTAGACAACTAATTTGTTTCTAACAGAATTAAATAAAATATATTACATATAAACTTTTCATAAAATATTTATGAAAAGATTAAAGTATTAGCTAAATCATTTTTTTTTTTTTTTACATTAATTCAAATGACTTTTTTTAAAATTAATTGATTGCTATAAAAAGATTTTATAATGAACAAAACCACTTTCAGTCATGTTATCATAGAATTTACATGCTTGTTGTTACTGGCAAAAATAGAGATATTGAAATCAGAATCATTTATGTTGGCTATATATGCCAAAACCCTATTAACATTTAAATAGTAAAAAATTTGGCAGAGAAAAATTTCCATAGCAGTAAACACTGAATAATAAGGAGTTAGTTAAAACTGCTTTTCAAAGTACTAATATACATATTTATTGGTTGGGTTGGAGGCTAAACTTAAATGAGTGATTTAATGCTGATATTTGGATTTTCTGTTTTAATTCTGATCTATTAAAACTTTTTTAAATTCAGATAGTGTAAGAAATGAAATAACATCAACTAATTTATCAAAACAAATATAATATACAAGGAAATAAGGAAATAATATAAATTTAATGTAGTTTAAGAGTAAGATAAGACATTTAGAATGGCTGAAATTTCTTTTTTTAAAGTTATCTTTATACTTTAATTAGGGAAAAATGAGTTCTTTATTGCAGTAAATCTATAAACTTGGAAACAAATAGAAAAGGAAGTAAAATATTTATTTCAATATTTTATTCAGCTGGCAAACAAAAATTTATTTCTTTAAAAATAAATTAAATTTCTTGGCTGCAAAAATAGAAAAAATACTTTGCACAGAGTTGGAGATTTATATCTTGTCCTTAATTAAAATATTTTTCTTTATTAAGAACAAAATTAAGTACACTGATTACCCATTTTTCCAATACTAAGAACACACTGCTCTTATAATTTCAAAGAATGATTTGATTTCAACATAAGATTTATTAACGGCAGAGAAAAAAAATAAAAAACTAGCAATAAGTTTATCATAAATCCCAGTAATATATGCTATCAGTATTTCTGTGTGTGAGTGATCCCTGAAGTTTAAAGAGTTACTGGTTCATGAAAACACTTATTATACAAGAAAACTAAACACCTATAATAAAATTTTGAAACTGTCCCAGCTTGAGACAGTGACATTATGGTAAGCCTATATCTATTAAGAACAGGTAAACAAATTTCAATATCTATATCATAAGGTATAATAATAACTGACAAATTTGTTGCAATCATCTTTTTATTTTCTTATCATATTTTAGTAAGATATTCTAAAATTGACATGATGTAAATTGCAAACACCTATATAAACAGTAAGGATGTTTGAAAGAAAAATACCTTTAACTACAAAGACATTAAATTATTATCAAGAATATGATTCATTGAAAATTTATACAGTTTTCTCTAAATAATAATACATGCTTAAATACCAATGTATTGTGTAATATAAAAAGTGTGTGTGTGTGTATGTATGTGTGTATATATATATATATATATATATATATACACGCATACATACATACATACACACAAATGTAAAAGAATGAAGTGTAAGATTTCAATGTTCAAAGCATTAATTTAAAATAGGGCTCAATACAAAATAGAGCAATAAATATGTACAGTTTTGTGGTGGGTATGCACATGTTCTAATGTAACAGTGCATTTTATATATATATATATATATATATATATATATATATATATATATATATATATATATATATATATATATTAGTCTGCTCCAGAAATGTATACACACTTCAGGAAAGGAAAAACTTGTATAGCTCACAAGATTAATACAAGTTACTTTTGGACTCCACAATCACATGAAGTACTCAAAATGGTGGCCTTTAGCTTCCAGACATTAGTACAGCAAATTACTGCTTGGGCAACATTAGCCAAAGTTTCTGGTGGTATTGCTGTACATGTATTTTCAATTTCTTGT